TAAACAACTATATATATATATACAGGATTCTCAAAAACACCGCATAATGATGAAGAAAAAGCTCAAACAAATATTTTCGGATTAAAATATTCTCACCAAAGTTGTATTTTTGCACTAGACACTCCACTCTTTCTAACAAAAAAAAAGATGAAATCTCTACGAGATTCTAATTACAGCGCTACATCAAAAACAAAATTAATGCAGAATTTTTGTCCCACCCATTACTTCTCTTTTCATTAAACTTCTGAAAGACTCATCTGCATCTTAATCACAGTGTCAGTATCTCTTCCCTTTAGTTACGCTTATCATGCATCTTTGAGTTCTCCTCTTTTTTGGCTATGTTTTCCTAATGTAATGCCACCACTTGCCATTTTTTCTCCGTTGTTATATACAGTTGCTGTTGTATGTATGCATACAATGCCACTAGGATGACTAATGTATGATCATCAGTGACTGAATCAAACAATTTTTCCTTGGTTTGAGTTCAGTTCAGTTTGGATTTACTTTTAAAAATTGATTCGGGTTCAACTTGGTTCGACCGTATTTTTGAAAAGTAGTTCGAGTTCAGTTCTATTCGAATGAAACCTAGTCCTATCAAATCAGGAATATAGGATAGATCGAAATGTTTTTCTTCTGGTTCAGTGAGTTTAAATTGTTTACGAAAAGCACAAGTGACAAGAAAACTTGAACTGAATGATATTGAAAAGTAGCTTTTTTTTAATGTGTATATGTAATATGTTAAATAGAGGTAGTTGATTTTTTTTCTTTGAATAAAAATTTAAAACAAGAAAACTCGTTTTTTAATTAAGTTTCATACTGGGGGAAATTCTTCGCAAAAGTTTTGCCGTTTGGGGAAATTTTTTATTCTGCCGGCAGATTCTGCACGCCTGAATATCAGACTCACACGCATACCTACTTCCAAGATTATAGTCACAGTGATCAGTAGTATTTCCCTTGCTGCTCCGTATCTTTTTGTAGGCTTATCTATTCTCTAGCTATAACGGAAAACTCACAAATAGGATATTCTTTCATTCTCAAAATAAACTCGACACAATTGTGCTTAATAGTCATGCTTTGGATCTATTTATTATTTTTCTTGGACTATAGCCGAAGTGTTAGGCATCGTGTCTTAAACTGTTAAATTGTATTTAATAGTTATAATTGTCTTTAGTTATTAGAAAAACATTGGTAACAGTTATTTTTCTATTCTCAATGACCATGATGAAAAAAGTAGTAAAACTACTTAGATTTTATCTTATTTAATCCTAGTTAAATCAACATTTCGGCTTTACTCAATTTAAAAAATAAAGAAGTACTGTTTTAATGACTTAACTATTTTATCATTCATCTTTTTTCTGATGAATCATCCGTACACACACACGCACATTCCAAAAATTATTTTTTTGAAGACAAGAACTTCATATGAAAGAATTTAATTCTTAGGAATAGTTTAAAAACTTGCTCGCATTCTTAATCGCAAAAAAAAAGAAATTTGTATTTATATATGAAACATTTTTAGAATTAGTTCTCTTCTTATTTTATTTTAGAGAAGAGATATTACTTAGTACACAGATCCTGTATTGTCGAAGATAAAAATGTAAGAACGACCTTATTGTGATCTTTTCTCTTTATTATTGAAGATTAATTGTATTAAAGAATTGTGCAATAGAAACAGTACTATTTGAGTTTCTTATTATGTTCATACGTGTAATATTTGTCTTGTATTTGTAACCATGAAATGACAATAATGACATGTTATTCGTTCTTTGTTGTTCTTTTTTTACTTATTGGTAATCCTATCTTCCACTAGTTTTACTTATCTATCACCTCTTTACTTCTATCTTGAGCATCGAAATACAACTGTCAAAACGAAAACTTGAAGAAAATTTCGATCATATTCAAAGACAATGATAATTATTGAGAAAGATCTGTCACATATACTTGAAAGTTTTATATAAATGTCAGTAGAAACCATTTAATATATTGACATCTACCTTCACAAAGTTGCTTTTTATTGGATTGTTCGTATTATACTTATTTTATTTGACGGTGTAAGAACAAAAAATCACTCAAGCATGACGAGAATTATTATCACATAGTCAATACATATATCAATATGCAGAAAATAAACTATCAACAGGCATTCATTGAACCAGAATATGATGTTCGAAAACAAATAACACTTATGTCTAATCAAGTTTCTTCATCGATTTTGGCATTATCTGTTGTTGAACTTATCTATCGCATACTGAACAATTTTGATGATTTTACAATTTTATATTCAGCTCATAACATGTGTACACGACTGAATATTATCTCTGATACATATCATCGATATCAGGTAAATTTCAATATTCTTAGAGAGTTAGACTACTTTCATCTTCAAAATATTATTTCTATATATAACAAGAAGTTATTCACTGATAAAAAAAAACGATGATTCAATGTTGTTCTTATGTTTTATTAAATTTAAAGCATATTAGATATTAGGAAGTAAAGTTTCTATTTCATGACTGTTATTATTCATATATTTTGTGCGGAAGTCTATTTGCATTTATGACACATGTTAATACTATTAAAACGTCCTTTTTTTTCCTTTTCGTTCTGTGTTTTTTTTTCTTTCTTACGTTTCTCTTTTTTTTTTTTAAATTATATCAATAATTGAAGAGACGTGACACGGGTCTGACGACACCTACAGTAAAAATACATTTAAAAGGTCTCATTTACGAAAATTAAAATATCATTTTACATTTATATTTGTAAGTTCGTTAGCAAAAAATGTTGATACTTAGATCTTGTCATCTAATTTAATTTCTTTTTGCATTGAGTTATAATGTTTAGAAATGATTTGTCGACAAGATTCATGTTCGTTTGTCAATTTATGTTTTCTCTACTCTTCCTTATTTTTGTCATTACTACTTAGATAAAAACAAGGTAAGGTACTGACAAAAAGAGAAAAACAAATCAAATTTCACTATTAAAATGATAGAAAAATCCTACCTTTGTTTTAAAATCTCCAAAACAGAAAGAAATTGTATTTAACAGAAACAATAGAATATTTTAAAATAAATATGAAATGAGAAAAAAGTTTATTTTTTCTAAATCATTAGTAGATTTAATGAGTTATGATTAAACTTCGGTTATATTGTAGGTTTCTATCGAATTTATTGAGAATTCATTCGATAAAATATTTCTAAAGTATTAAGTCATTTCCTAAATAGACTGTAAACTGAAGAAAATCTAGTTGATATTTTTCTTTAGATTTTCTTTGACATGTAAAAAAACGGAAAATTCCTACGAAATATTTTATTGATTGACTTCGCTTGTTTTTTGTATTAAAGATTTAAAAGAAAAAAAATCTATTTATCGGATTCATTGGAATATCTTATATGAATATAATAAATCGATTCTCGTTTTTTTATCATATTGATCTTTAGTATTCTTCATGTATTGAGTCACTTTTCTTCACTCTATGTGAAACTTTATATTATCAATATCATATTTCATTATACCAACAAAATAGAATCTAACGAGCTAGTATGTTCCATCTCATTAGTTTACCTACGTTATGTTAATTATTCTTTTTTCTTTTCTGTACTATACATAATATAGGTTTTTTTTAAATCTTTTTATTCTAAAGATTCATCAATACGAACATATTTTCGTAAACTTATGTATATATTCTCATCGTATTATTTTTCAATAATCTATGTCGTGGAGAAAAAAGACTTCACCATTAGGGTGACACTTTTACTTTCAGAAAGGAAAGTTGAAATCTTTCATATTCCTCAAAATGAACAGTATCTGTATTATCTACATCAGGAAGACAAAAAACAATCATTTTAATATTCGTAACTCTAATGAATCTATCTTTTTCCTTTCTTTTCTTCTCACGTCAAGTTATCTTTGTACTATTGATGTTCTATATCTGTTTGCTTCAGCCTTTAACTAATCTTTTGCATGTTTTCATACTGCTTCATGACATGACATGTAACTTCAAAGGTATTCCGTTTTCTTTTTATAGCAAGAAGAAAGTATTAACCGTGATTCTGATTCCGATCTCAAACAAGTTTTGAATGTTTGTCAAGAAAAGAGATCAATTGGAAAGAAAAGTTTTATTTTCTTTTTAAATCAATCATTTCCTATAAATACTATGTCATCAGTCTAATTATTGTGTTTTTCTTATGGCTACAAAAAAAAAAATAGAAGCCTATAGTTTTCATCACTCGGAAGTGAATACTGAATGACGTCAGTCTATGTCAAAATCAAAAATTTGAAAGATAACTCTAAGCGATCTCTATTAGGATCTTCTACAAACTATCTTCTAGATCAGAGAAACTTCATTACATTTTCCATTTCAACTTTATCTATCTTGTATTCCAAGATGTACTTCTAGAGAATTATCAAAGTCGTAGAATCTTTCATTTTCTGTTAGAGTAGTGGATTTCAGGCGCTTGGACTTTAAAAAGCACACTTTTTCACTTGACTCAACTCAGGTTTGCAAGAAAAGCATAAATCCTCAATAATACATCGGAGTACAATGATATTTTTATCATATGTAGAGCTAGTAAACATCGATCTTTTGAGCTCTATATCGTGATAGAAGCGACGCTTCTCAAGTAATTTCCTTGACATCATATACTTCAAGATATTTCTTTCTAACTTCGTTCTCTTAATTCAATTTTGACTTCGAACATCTGAAATAAAATGAAGTATGTTTCAGAAAGAAAACAAAATTGTGATATCCCTCACTGGATGCTTCTATGTAAAACTTATTATTCATCTAACTATATAACCTTCCTTTCCGAAAGGAAAAGAAAGTGAAAATGTCACCTCTATTCACCACGAAATTGGATCATAGTATGACGATCGGTAAAAAACAAAAACAAATTCATGTTTTAGATAATTGTTTTTCTTCTATTATTATGTAACACAATCAGTAACATATTGATAATATAATCTTTCGATCAATATTTGTCAGTATTTAAATTTGTTAACCAATGAATCATATACCGTTTTTCAAAAAGAAAAAAGTTGAAGGTTTGTCTAATAAAATTATTATTCAATTAAGAAATTAATATGTTGTTCTTGTTTCAGAGACAAGTCGACAAATTCGAGCCAATGATCATCATGGCAATGCGATGAAAGAATTTGCCGTAAATGTTTATTATTAATAAGAAACAAATTAAATTCAATATTTTTTAGGACAATCGAATATCAACATCAAAATATAATTTAATAACATTTTTACCTAAGAATCTCTTTGAACAATTTCGTCGATTAGCTAATGCCTATTTTTTATTTATTATGTGTTTGCAAGTAAAAGAAAAACGAACGTTTCTTTTCAAGTCATGCATCATTTAATTCTCTTCTAGTTTATTCCACAAATTTCTTCATTAACACCTGGTACGAGTATTGCACCACTTGCTGTTGTTTTATCGTTAACTGCAATCAAAGATGCTATTGATGACATTGTTAGAATACAAACAGAATTTCTTTTGTATTTTCTTTTTCTTTATGAATTAATTTTGTATTTATTTAGAGAAGACATCGAAGTGATAGGCAAATAAATAATCGTGAAACAAAAACAGTTGTTGGACATGAATTAGTAACTAGAAAATGGAAAGAAATTAAAGTTGGTGATATTGTACGATTAGAAAATAATGAATTTATTACTGTAAGAAATTATGAAAATTAGAACAAAAAAAAAAGAAAAATATATTTTATTTTAGGCTGATATTGTTCTTATATCAACTAGTCAACCAAATGGTCTTTGTTTTATTGAAACAGCTGAATTAGATGGAGAAACAAATCTTAAAGCACGTCAAGCTTTAGAAGAAACATGTAATCTTGAAGATCATATTGATCAATTATCTAATTTTGATGGTAGAAATATTAAAATTAAAATTTATATAATTGAATTTATTTCTTTGTTTTGTCAGGTGAAATTGAATGTGAAGCACCGAATAATAATCTTGGACGTTTTGAAGGAAATTTAATGTGGAAGGAAAAAAAATTTCAATTAAAAAATGATAATATTCTTTTACGTGGAGCAAGATTAAAAAATACACAATGGGCTTTTGGCAGTATGGAGATAATTTTAAAGAAAATAATTTAATAGTTGTATTTGTTTTCTTTTTTAAGTTGTTTGTTATGCTGGTCAAGATACAAAAATAATGAAAAATACTGGAAAAAAAAAATTTAAACGAACTAAAATTGATCATTTACTCAATCGAATCATTCTTGGTGTAAGAAAATATACAGATTTTCTTCTACTTTAAGATATTTCTTTTATTTTAGATTTTTCTCTTCTTATTAATCATGTGTGCGATAATGACAATTTGTAGTGGTTTTTGGGAATCTTTTGTTGGTTATCATTTTCGTATTTATATACCATGGGAAACATATCTATCTTCTAATCAACAGTTTGGTGCACTTGAAATAAGTTTATTAACTTTTTTATCATATGTTATTATATTACATACTGTTGTACCTATATCACTTTATGTTAGTATGGAAATTATACGTTTAATACAATCGAAATTAATTGATTGGGATAATAAAATGTATTATAAACCAACTAATGTACAAGCACAAGCTCGTACAACAACATTAAATGAAGAATTAGGACAAATTCAATATATTTTCTCGGATAAAACAGGAACATTAACACAAGTAATTAAACGAATTTAAAATTTTGTTTAGTTAATCCTTTGAAATCCGAATTTGCTGAAATTTTCGGAATATGTTGGAGCTGAAGTGATGAGACTACGATAAAATTTTTAGCCGTATGCCATGATGTTTGAGCGAGATATTCACCGAACAAGAGTTAAAATAGCTCACTTTGCGTCCAATATTTCCTGGTCCAGGTTCGTGCTATACGTTTTATCGGCTTTTTATTACAAAGAGCATGTCAGGATGCAAGACACCACAGAACTCTTTTTTTGGAATTCTTATTTTTTTAGCGTAGAAAGGAGATCACAAGCTCAATGACTCAAAAACGAGTGTTTAGCTATATAAGTGTCTGTATACATAATAAAAATAAAGCTCAATTTAAAAAAACGATCCTCTACTGCTCTGCATCTTGACATACTCTTTCCAATAAAATGAAAAAGATTTTTTTATTTTTTTGAAAAAAGCCTCTCTTTCAAGCAGATAATTACAGAAAATATCGAAATTTTTAACCAAAAAAAGGAGGTTTTGGATAAAGAACCATATCATTTCTGGAAGATTCGAAGACGGGCTATCTTCCTACGTGTTTATTTCAATCTTGAAATTTCCATACACTCTATCATCCGTGTAGTTTTGTACGGATCTCTACTCGCTTCCAACTGGGTCTCAAAGGGTTAAACCATGGGTCCGAGCTTATTTCTTGTTTTCTTAATTTCATGATGTTCTCTTATTCGTAGCCAAAATATATAGTAAATCAATATTCGACATTCTAGTGTGTCTTTAATTCGTATAAAGTTCATTTTTTTTTGTTTCTACCATTTATTAGAATATAACTTGAGAGTAAATTAACTTTTCAATTAAATAATCGAAGTTCTACTCTTAATATTAGATTAATTATAAATGTTCATTTTAGAAATTAACAAAAATGTTTTTATTTTTCGAAGTTTATTTTTATCCAAAACGAGATAGTTTAATTTTCAATTAATGAAATTCATTGATCATTGTATTTAGAATATAATGACATTTAATAAATGTTCGATACGAGGTAAACTTTACGGTTATGTAATAGATGAAGCTGGTAATGAAATACAAGATCTCGAAGTAAGATTTCATTTTTTTTTTTTTGTAAATTTCATTGAATTATTATGTCATAGAAATTAAAACCCATTGAATTTCAAGAAAAAAATAATGATTTTGAATGGTATGATAAAAAATTATTGGATGCTATCGAACAAAATGATAAAGATGTATATAATTTTTTTACATTATTATCCCTTTGTCATACAGTTATGTCTGAAGAAAAAAATGGACAAATTATTTATGAAGCACAATCACCTGATGACAATGCACTTGTTTCTGCATCACGTACATTTGGTTTTACATTTATTGTATGAGTTTTCAAAAAAAGAAAAACGAAAAGGATGATTATCGGTTACGGTTTTTTTTTTCTCACTATTTACTAGGGTCGTACTCAAAGTAGTATTACTGTTCGCTTTGGAAATAAAGAAGAAACATATGATTTATTAGAAATACTTGATTTTGATAATGATCGTAAACGAATGTCGGTATGTATTTTAAAAACTAAAAATAAGTTTTTCTTTTGATAATTTCTTTCTTGTTTTATAGGTTATTATTAAAAAACATGGAAAGATAATTTTATATTGTAAAGGAGCTGATTTTAAAATAAAGGAATGTTTAGATCCATCAGAAAAAAAAATCATGGCTGTAACGAATGAACATTTATATGTGAATGAATTTTACTTTTTTTGTCTTATGATTATTTTTATCTGTTATAGAAACTTGCAACCGATGGTCTACGGACACTTGGTTTAGCATATAAAGAATTGAGTGAAAGTGATTATAATAGATGGGCTCAAAAATTACATGCAGCAAAGTATGTCATTACTAGAGAGAGAGAAAACTCAACGAGGGTAAAAAAAAAAAGGATCTTAACGTTGTTAGAATTTCGGTGATTCGATAAATCATTACAGGAGATCTACTTTGATCAGCAGAAGTCAGTATGACTTAATGCTGGATACTTTTTATGTTTTGTTTTGTTTTTTTGACATAAGCCATTGTTGAAGCATTTGTGTAAGTAAAGGAAACAATGTTCTTGTCGAGGGGTTTGACTGTCCATTGCAGCTTTCATAGCACACTTCTATCCAGTTTTGATGTTCTATACGAATAATTTAAGACCAACATGCCATGTGCAGTATTAACTGAGCAATACAATCTCTTCAAAAACTTTAAGCTCGAAGTCTCTTCCATTTCCTTATCGTAAAAAAAAGGCATTCCTATTCTCTGTAAATCATTCCTATATATCTTATCATCAAACGAAAGAAATAAAGGTGGAGGTACTTAGGTAGTCTCGGAAACGATAATTTCGTCTAATAACATTTTAATATCATTCATGACGATAAAAAGGCATCAAATTTCACTTTCTAACAAATGAATTTTGCTTCTTTAGTACAAGTATGGAAAAACGAGATGAAAAAGTCAAAGATGTCTATGAAGAAATCGAAAAAAATCTCAAATTAATTGGTGCTACAGGTATCGAAGATAAACTACAAGATGGTGTACCTCAATGTATTGAACGTTTAGCATATGCTGGTATTAAAATTTGGGTTTTAACTGGTGATAAACTTGGTAAATTGAATTTCTATTCAATATATATTTATTTGAATTTTCTTTTATTTAAAAATATTATTTAAGAAACTGCTCATAATATTGGTTTATCATGTCGTTTATTAACAAATGATATGGAACTCTATATTATTGAAGAAGAAAATGAAGATGCTGTTAGAAAAAAATTACAAGAAATTCGAAATGGTATGATTAATAAAATTGAACAATTATTTAATGTTTATATTGAAAATAAAAATAAAAGACTTGATTGGAAAGATTGGGGAATTGATGTTATGAAATTTAATCGATATAGAAAATCTAATTATCAATATAATAGTAAAACACAACGTCTAAATAGTCATGGAATAACAACAATTGATACATATCAACAAGATAATGAACAATTTGAAGGTTTCGGTTTATTAATTACAGGTCAAGCATTAGTATTTGCATTAAATGAAAAATTAAAAATGAAATTTCTTGAAATTGGTACAATGTGTAAAGCTGTTGTTTGTTGTCGTGTAACACCATTACAAAAAGCTCAAGTTGTTGATTTAGTTATGAAAAATGAAAGAAAAATTACTTTAGCAATTGGTGATGGTGCTAATGATGTATCAATGATACAAAGTAAAATCATCATAGAAATATTTCATTTTTTTTCTTTTGTATTGAAGAAAATTATATAATTTTCAGAAGCACATATTGGTGTTGGTATTAGTGGACAGGAAGGTCGACAAGCTGTACTAGCAAGTGATTATAGTTTAGGACAATTTTGTTTTCTTGAAAGATTATTACTTGTTCATGGTCGTTGGTCATATTTAAGAATTTCAAAATTTTTACGTTATTTTTTCTATAAAAATTTTGCATTTACATTATGTCATTTTTGGCTTGGATTTTTTTCGGGTTTTTCAGCACAAGTAAGTAGAAAAGAAAAAAAAAATATATATATATATATAAACAATGTACAATTATCTCATTTTCTTGTTATTAGACATTATATGATCCATTCTTCATAGCAACATACAATGTTTTCTTTACTTCATTACCTGTTCTAGCATTAGGTGTTTTTGATCAAGTAAATTGAAGCATTATTAATTTCTTCTGTTTTTTTTTTAGTATATATTTTCGAAACTACATGTGTTTTTTTTTCAATTTTCTTTTAGGACATAAGTGCTGATCATTCATTAAATAAAGCATATTTGTGAGTTTATTTTTTATTTCTGACTTAAATATTCATTTATTTTTATTCAAGATATACACCTGGTCAAAATGATGAATTTTTTAATAAAAAAATCTTTGCTGAAAGTGTTATACATGGTATACTAACATCATGTGTTATATTTTTTGTACCATATTTATCTATATCAAATGCTACACGATCAGATGGAATAACATTAGCTGATTTACAATCATTTGGTTTTGCAATTGCAACAATATTGGTTATTATTGTTAATTTAGAAAATGCACTTGAAATGTGGTATTGGAGTAGTTTATATCATTTTGTTTTATGGGGTACAATAATAGCACATTTTCTATTTCATTTTGTATTATATTCAACAATAATTGACAAAATTTTCAAAAGAAATTATCCATATGTTGGTGTAACACAAGCTGTTTTATCGACGGGTAATTTTTGGTTTACATTATTTCTTACATGTGTTATATTACTAATACCAGTATTTGCTCGAGAGTATGTCATTTTTTTTTCTATGTGAGATATAAAAGATTTATTTAATTTTTGAAGATTTTTTCGCATGCGATTTATGCCAACTAGAATTGATCGTGCCCGATTAAATCAGAAATTTCGTACGGAAGAAAAAGCAGCATTTGTTACACATATACAATATAGACTTCGTCAAAGAAGACAATCGGTTCGATCAGGTTATGCTTTTTCGCAGGAAACAGGCTGGGGTCGACTAATTACTTCTGGACTAATGCAATCAAAATCTAATATATTTACTCGGTCATCAAAAATGTAAGTACAAATAAAATTTTAGTTTTTAATGTTGTTTTAATGGTTGGTTTTTCCACCTTTAGTAGTGGACACGAGTCTAAAAAAAATGACTTTATAGCTAAAAGGATTCTCTGTCAAGTATTCCAAAGTCTTTGGCATCATTCATTAGTCATTAAAATGTTATTCAGTTATTATAACTAAGATTTTCTTTATGAACAACATATTGGAAAGAACTATTTAGATTATATCACAATATAGTGTTATCATAATTTTCTCTTCCTGAATATTTTCTTTTTTTTTTCATCCTGCTGATAATTTTATTTTTCATTTAAAACGCTGTTAGCGCAATCCCTTGCGGGATTAAAAACGTAAAACACGATGGACCTATTGTTACTAATTAAATGGGCATCGTTTTGTTCCATTTCTTCAAGATAGATTTGTAGCTTATCGTTTATTTGATGTTTCAAAACTACAATTTCTCTGTCACAGTCTGTGATGGTCTCTGACAGTTCTGTCACGGTCTGTGATGGTTCCTGGAGGTCCTCTGTCACGGTCTGTAATGGTCTCCGGGAGTTCTCTGTCACGGTCTGTGATGGTCTTCAGAACTCTCTGTCACGGTCTGTGATGGGTACTAGGGTTTCTCTGTCACGATCTGTGACGGGTCCGAAGGTTCTCTGTCACGATCTGTGATGGGTACTAGGGTTTCGCTGTCATGGTCTGTGATGGGTACTACAGTTTCTCTGTCACGGTCTGTGATGGGTATTTGGTTTCTCTGTCACGGTCTGTGATGGGTACTAGGGTTTCTCTGTCATAGTCTGTGACGGATCCGAAGGTTCTCTGTCACGATCTGTGATGGGTACTAGGGTTTCTCTGTCACGGTCTGTGATGGATCCGAAGGTTCTCTGTCACGGTCTGTGATGGATCCGAAGGTTCTCTGTCACGGTCTGTGATGGATCCGAAGGTTCTCTGTCACGGTCTGTGATGGGTATGGAATTTCTCTGTCACGATCTGTGGGGGGAGGGGGGGGGGGGTGCAAATTTCTGCCCCTAAACTCTTCAACACTCCTTTCAGATCGTGTTTCACAATAGCAATATGATAGTTTCTCTCGAAAATGAAAAATGAAATCTTAATATGGATTCAAATAGTTTCACTGGAACTAGAAATCGAAAAAAGTCGTTCCTTTAAAATACTAGATAGTTAGAGTGCTCCTTTTCTAGGTAAAGTAAATAGATCATGCCTTTGTTGTTACTCGCTGATTTTTACTATTTTGAAGCTAATGTGCCTTTTTATGTGACTGACTTTCCTTTACGTATGCGTGTTTATTGTTAAACAATTGTTTTTATATGAAATATTTAATTTATTTTTGTGCTTCTATCGATACATCTAGACTGTGATTCAAAGTTGGCTTTAATATGAAATGAGGCATAAAAGAACACTGGAACTATGAAAAAATTTTATCGTAAGCTTTATATTTATATGCATTTACTTTTTATGCTTTATGCAGCTAACATTTGTAACATACTGATGATATAGTCACACTAACTTATTTATTTTTTATATTCTTTATTGCTTACACAAGACACCATGAAATAAAAAATATAAAAATATTATAGGTGTCGGTGTGGGAGTGGGGGTGTGAAGGGAAGTCTTTTTTTCAATATTACCTATATCTACACTCCAGGAGAATTGGTCAACTAACCCTTTCCTAATCTATTCAATTGTCGTGGACTATTTCTCTCTCTTACTCTCAGAATACCAAAAACTCGTATTGCACACTGAGCACTCTAAAAACTCAAGACATATAACGTGTATAGACAAGATGCTTCGTCCGGTTATACAAGACACTTTGATCTAATTTTGATTGGGTGATTTATCGCTAACTTAGATGCTTCAAATGTTAACGGATAACCGATTTTTAGACACCCAAGCGTCTTACTTGCTTTTAGTTGGATGATCTGTACTAATGAGAGAAGCGTCTGCTCATAGATCAACTAAAGTATCGATGTTGTTTAAAAAGTTAGTGGTATATAGATGTTCGTGATATTAATATAATTTAGAAAAAATAAAAAATAATTTTTTTTAAAATTTTTGTGAAACTGTACAATTAACACCACAAAAAAAAGAGGAATACTAACAATTTCTAAAAGACTTAAAAATAAAACTTACTATTCGATCAAGTAATGATAAAAACGCACAATATTATGTAGATACGTACCTCAAGCAAAAAACAAGTAATTCTAAGAAAACAATAATGAACAAAAGTAATTATCTCAAGCCATTATGTTTACTCGATTTTTTAAAAAAATATTATTTAACAATATTTTTCATGAAATACATTTTGAATATATTAACATTCGTTGTGTTTGTAGCTGCTGGTCATATGTTCAATTACTACAACGAACAAAACGTATCAATATCTATTGGATTCAAGCATCTAAAAAAAGAAAATAAGAAGCTTCTCGTATCTAACTTATGTCTGAACAAGCCGTTAGACAGATAGTATTTTTTAGAGTGTAAGCCAACTAAACTATCCAAGACAGAAAAAAAATTCTGCTAAGTATTCAAAAACGGTAGTAGAATTTTGACAGAAGCCTATTTTATGTTTTAGAATTCAAATATACGATACACTTATGTCAACTCGTATTTTGTCGCGTATAAAAAAACCTACGCTTCAATTTACAATATAATTTTTCTAAAAACAAAAGCACTAATTCTCAAATCTCAGATATTTTTATTCAATTGCTCCATCATCCCCAATTATCTTTTTACTTATTTAAGAAAGGACGATCGAAGAGAAACAACTTGTCAGGACAACCCCTATGAGATTAGAATACCGCATTTAGAGATAAGAAAGATTTTTTTTTGCCGAGAGATTTCATATCGATTAAGGATTTTAAGATTTTTAAATTCAACCAAAATGTTAGTTTCGGCATGTTCTATCGATTGGTATGTGATTCGATGTATTTGACGATGAAAATTCAATTTATTAGCAATTCATTATTCCATTTAGAGAACATATTTTTTTCTAATTTCATTTTTTCAACAGCAATACTTTTTTTCTCAAAAAGTCTACCGATAGATCAGTCTATCGATGATAATATTTGATTTTGATACCAAGAAAAGATCTTTTTACTGATCGTCTTTATTATGATATCGTATCGGAGAGATTGCAAAGATGATATTTGACTCTTTTGTGAGAAAAAAATGAAGATTAACCAATCTAAAAGGACAGGAAAATCTTACAAATAAAATGATATCTATGTGGCTGTTCAATTATGAATTATTGTACATTGTAAAATACATATGATTCAACAATAAATAAGGGAAATAATTATCTTCCAAAAAATTGAAATAAATAAAACACTTTACTCAAAGAAAATATAATTTGAAATTTCGAAGTAATTCTAATTAAATTATTTCTATTACAAGTTGAATTTTAACTCCATAGTTCTTGTTGCACTTAAACTGATCTAAACATTTCATTTTTTTTCACTACTTTCTGAATAAACAAGTAATTCTGTACATCGAAAAATGGCAATAAGTTTTTTCGTTTTTAAATCCGTTATTTGAGCATCCCAAATTTGTGTTGTCTTTCCACCATGTATTAATTTAGCTTCACATTTCAATACATTTGATGATTTGCCTTTTCCTAAAAAATTCGTTTTCAATTCAATTGTTGTAAGTGTAGTAGCTCCCGATGGTAATGATGCCAAACAGCCACAACCACAAGTTGCATCAGCTAAACCTACAATAGCACCACCGTGAAGAAAACCATCCACTGATAATAGTTTATCACATACAATTAACTGAGATGAAACATAACCATAACGAATTGATAGAAATTCCAAACCGATTAAATTAGGATATGTACCTTTTATACGATCATTCCAATATGTTACTTGAAAAAATTCATGAAGAGAAATTGTATTTGACGAATTATTACTTTGATTTTGTGATGTAGAACTAGAAAACAAGAATCAATATACATGCAAGTTTGAGATCTAACTTTTTCCAACGTGAAATTTTGCTATATATTAAAATCTACTTTTAAACCGATTATCAATTTTATCTTATTTTTTATACAATTAGATTCATAATCTAAAATTGAATCGATTAAAAATAGTTTTTAATGCAATGCTTTTGTTTTTCGAATAGAAATGTCAAATACAATTGCGTTGACAAATTTTTTTGGTATCTACAACAAAAATGATGTTGAATTACAGAATGAATACATTGCATATCATTCATTCACAATCAACATTTCATCTATGATGTGAATTCCTACGTTCATATCAATCATGAAAGAGAACTCATCGCAACGATTAATTAATCAAGAAATATTCACATTTGTAAATGCAATATCCAAAATGCTAAGAAGTTACTAATAATTGGCTTAATCTTTGCTCGTACACAATACAATTCATTCCTTCTCGAGATTGGTCTCTTCTCACTTTTTACTGCAAAGATGGATCCTTATTCCTGAACATCGATATTTTCTGTCTTTTCGACCAGAGATTGTCAACAAATGATATTAATACCGAAATGGATTATAGTCATAATATGAACGGTTCTCATTTAGAATCATATTGTTAGCTTAATCTAATGAACAAATTGCTCTTATAAAAACCTCATCTATAAAATTCTTACAAGGAATATCTATAAGAGAGATCATGTAGACAAATGGATTCAAACATTTTTGAGATATACAAATAGTAAATTTCTCGCAGTGTACATTTAAAAAATTGATTCTGATTTACTTGGTCAGATATTGTGAATTTTCCGGTAGATTAGAATTACTTGAGATTTGTTTGAATACTGATGGTGGTAGTTGTTGTTGCAAATTTTTATCAACATAATAATAGAATTTATGTTCTTGTCGATCGATAATTGCTTTTAATTTTTCATTTGTTCGATAACTTTCAATAATTGAAGAATCACATATGTAATTTTTTGATAAGAAAGACAATAATACACGACAGTAAATATTTTGAAAAGATAAAAAATTTTTCTTGAATACTAATCTAGCAAACATTTATATATATATATATACAATCTAAAATACATTTCAAGTGTAATCAATTTGACTTTCAAAGCAAACAAAAAAATCTTTTATTTTATAAAATTAAAAGTTGTATTGAAGAATTGAACAGAAAATATTCTATATATTTTTGAATATCTACTTTTGAGATAATTAGCAAGAACGGAAAATGAATGTTGTTTATTAGTCAGCTAACTTTTGAATTTAAAGTAAAAAAAAAAATCTGAAGAGAAAATTGTAATTTATCTTTCTTCTAAACAAACAAATCCAATGGAGTAAAATAAACTCTTATAACAATAATACTATCTTAATTGTTTACATCGAAATTTTCATAATTTCACACTCTTCTTAGTCATATTACGGATGGACATGAATGATATGATATAACAGGATCGAAAAGCTATTGAACGAAATTAAAGACACAATATAAGATGGACATGAATAGATGACAGTAGTGTATTGAGAATATCGAAGACCTATTGTCGGCTAAGAATATCATAAAATCAATCGATAGTCTGACTTTTTTTGCTTTGCTTCTGTATGGACTTGAGATGAAACTTTACCAGGAAAAAAAGATTAAATCAATGTCAAACTATCGATCTGCAGTATAGGCATCGGGAATAACCTATTTATAAAGTACAAGGACGTGGCGGTGCCAAAAAGAAGAAAGAGTGTACTTTTCGACACCAATAGAACTAGATGCGTCAATGAAGTAATGGATCGATAGTATGGCTGATTTTCCGAATGCTAGTTATTTACTCTTCAGTCTATAATTGCAGTTAAATTTATTGATTTATGAAATAATTGATGCATACCTTTCAGTTTCAGTTGTTATGCATTAAAATCAACAAAACCATACCAATTGAACAATAAGGAACAGACAGCAATAGAATAAAGATAGAAAAGATACAAAAATTGTTGAGACAACATTTTAAGAGAAAAATATTTAAAAACTTTTATCTATTTTTTGAAGAAGAAAATGACAAAAATATGAGAAAAGGCATGACATGTAGACATACTATTCATGTGTCATTGATTGGATTATTGTTTTTTTATCTCCGCATCTCCTGGTGCATCTCTCATCATCCTCGACTTTCTGAATATGTGACACTGCTGAGCTAAAAGTAAATAGAAAAACATTTCTGAATGGTGATTTATCAGTTAATCAGAAACGCAATATATCTATAATCAGAATAAAATGTTAACAAAACTAGTTTTATGTGTATCAGTTTTTTCCACATTAAATGAAAATAGTGCTGATACTAATCTCTGACTAATTTACCATAATTACTCGCGTAGTCAATAAATGCTACAATATTGACTGTGAATATAATCTAAATCGATCGAATATTTGCTATTCATATATAGAGATCAGTCTGCAACGATTTTCAGCATCATTTCTATTAAATTAGTTTCGATCATATCTGTACAACATTAGTTTGTTAGGAATCTTTTTCTTCAATAAACCAAATATTCATAACCTCATCTACCTATATGTGCATTTTAAACTAACATTCAGTTAAACAGACATGAAAACAAATTTAAAAAAGATCATTTTTTCCTCTTTCTGATTGACAACAATCTGCATTGATTCCAGCTAGAGACCTTTTTCTAAGATTTTTTTTTAATGAATACAAGTGTGAACAATTAGCAAAAAGATTGTTTCGCTTCCGTTTTTCCGACACGGTAAGAGAGATCGAGTTGGAACTTTTTTCACATATTCTAGTCAATATTCGGGGTGAATATTTTTTTCTTTTCACGAACTGTTACTCTGGTGATTTTTGACAGTTTCCACAAAATTTACTCTAATAACAAAAACACGTATTTTTTAGGGTAGGCTTGGTATTTTGACTTTTTTTTTTTTATTGAAATGACAAAAGATACAAAGAAACTAAAACAAATATCCACCATAAACAGTATCTAGTACCATGTAAAACAACTTTCAGCTCAATCAAACATATAGTCTTGGAGAAACTGGAGCGAACATTAGGGAGTCATTTTTCGCCATAGTGATCCTATTATCTCATAGAAGACAGGAGTGTATGACTCGGAAAGGGGCAGGTACCCTTAATGCACGGAAAAAGTGTTTTGATCTGATGTCCATTTCGAAAAAAATTCACGGGTGAGTTTTTTTTGAATAACTTTTGATAGAAACAAGATAGAACTGCAATTATCATTGTTGGAAAGGGAAGATCAAGACGAATCGAGTCGCATATAATAAATTTTTCAAAGATGTTTTGTGAAGTCTTTATGATTAAATTTTCAAAGAGTACTGAAAAATTGGCCTCTAATAAAATAAGAAAAAAAAGCAAAAAAAAGTGATTCGTTTCACTGGAAATAATAGAATAATTGGATGAGAGCAATCTATTACTTCTAAACTACTAAATCTAAATGTCTGAGCCCTACTTAGTTTAATAGATCTTCGATTAACAGTTCGATTACACATCTGATTATTGAAAATTTATCGTAGTTACCTTCCAGGGTACGTTTGTGTTCAAAAAGATCGATTTAAACTCTTGACAAAATCAGATTAAAATATCCTCTAATAGATAGTTTGATGCGTCTCTATCTGCTCTCTCCAGTAGCAATAACCGTAGCTCTCTATTATCTTCCTTCTACGAAAGGTTATTCGAAAAATAAATACACGCATTTGTTTTGTGGAATAGCAATTAATTAATTTAAAACTCAATCGTTACGATATTTCACACCTTCAAACATAACACTTTGAGTTTTGCAAATCATGCCTGAACAATTTCAATGATATATCGATAATCTTAAACATCAATTTGACCATTGAAACGAACTAGTTGCCTAAATTTAGTCTATTCGCATAAATATCGTATTATCAATGAAGTTTGTGTTTGTATTTTTTATCATTGGCTGTGATTAGAACTGAAAATTAATTATGGATCGCTTCGTATGTATTTTTCTTAATTCATAATAGATAAAATATCTTTATTCAAGTTCATGATAATTACTTCAGAATAGAGGTTGTTGACCCTACTCGGATGAAAAAAACTTTGAACAAGTCTCTATGACTAACATAAAAACTTCGGGTGTGGGTGAGCCAAAATAAAGATATACGATTTTTTTATCTCAAGTTATTTATGGAACATCCCGTATAAAAATGATCAGTGT